CGCCCCCCCCCCCCACCCACACACACACACACACACACACACACACACACACACCCCCGCGTGCGCGCGCGCGCACAGACAATTGTCTAGCAAGGCCTTCATGTGGCTGCAGCCCCTGCTTCCAATTCTTACTGGCCTTACTGGTCGGGGGTGTACCTAGACAGTCAAAGACTGCAGCTTTTGAAGCGTGAATGAATGCCACAGTTCTCGGCGTGTCGGGGAAAGCTCTGTATTCTGACTCAGGCCGCGACCCTTCCCAGCCCTCTCGGAGAGCATCTCTGAAAGAAGCCGCGGCGGGTTTCGCGGGCTCCTTGCGGCTTCGGCCCAGGAGGCCACGAGGCGCGGCAACCCCGTGCTGGCCTTGGCCTGCTCGTTTACGCGGCCCTCGGAGCCTCCAAAAGAGCGATGCAAGGAAGAAACAAAGCTTTCGCAACCGCCTCTCCTTTTCGCAGCACGTGGCGTGGCGTCGCGGTGTGATGCCCCATGCTCTGAGCTCACGTTGACTTCCGTCTGGTCTTATGCCACTGATGATACTCAAGCCACGTCCATGTACCCACTTGCACGGACGGGTGGCTACAGTGGAGGCAAGTGCAACTCAAAATATCACTGACGCAGTGAGAGTGGAAACGCCCAGGGGCTGAAGCTTGTCGTGGTTGCTGCGCTTCTTCATTCTGTTGCATCCTATTGTGGCTGCTGTTTCTTCTTATTGATTTTCTCTGCGAAATTCTGCGAACTATTGTGGGCAATGTGTTTCTTTGTGATGCTGTTTGAACCCTTTGTGCCTTTGTGGCCATGTTGTTCCGTGCTTGCCAATTTAGAGCCGCGACTGCACACAAAACCTCGAAGATGGGTAGCCTGATCATGCCTTGCCGGAGCATCTGCACTGAATTGAAAGACAGAGACTTTCCCGGATCGCTTGCACTTCTTTCTTGCGTGGGCACGCTCCACCCACTCTTGGCGATGGTGTCAGCCTGCAGACAAAGCATACGACCAACTGTCTTGAAACTGCTTGTGTCAGTACTGTGTCTCCTGACTGAGCTTGACACGGCGACCTCTGTCTTCAGTCGACCGTTTTATGAGCATGGGATGTTCTGGACCCCTCCCGTATTGGGAGGCCACTGGTGAAACCGTTTTACAGGACCTTGCTGAGCACCAAAGCATGGTCAATCTTGCCATCCCTTGATCCAGCTTATGCGGCACGTGTAGCGCAGCACGGCAGGACTTCGTAAAGGTATCTCAGGACGACCGCGACCATGCACAGGACCTGGGACGGTGGCAGAGCTGCCACAGAGGGCCCCTTCAACCAGTCATTAGTCTCTAAGGCAGCCACATTCAGACTCGTGACCACGGTGCCAACAATGTCAGCATCTGCAGATTGAACTACAACCCAGGCTTTGCACAGTCTGCGGAGCAATATGCGCTACACGATGCTAGCTCCATCTTGTGGCGAAGACCACAGTGTCGCAAAAGCAAATCTTCATAAATTAACTCGCTAAGCAGCGCTGACCACGGATGATATCTTGAACATCTTTCGCGATCTGCAGTGCCAGTAAGGTGACCTGCGACGCAGCGGTTGAACAACAAGATCATCTGCCGCAACAACATGCCTCAGCACCACCAGATGAACCGGCCAAGAAGCGGCAGCAAGGCAAGCGAGGCACGTGATGCCGACCCAAAGAATCCACGCGAGTCGAAATTCACGGCTCTTTGCATCCACCAATCTGTAGTCCAGCAGGAGATCACCAATCCAAGACCGCGTAATCAATCCCGACCTGCGCGCAGAGTCACCACTGGCTAAGAGCATGTCCTCCAGACCCACGAGGCAGGCTCATCCCAAAGCTCTTCTTCGTGCTAAGTTCTGTTTTTCTCCTAGAGGAAGGTGATAAAGCGAAGCCTGACGAAAACCGATTCAAGATTCACGGCGAGGACAGGACGGACTCAAGTGATTCGGAGGTCCTTTCCTCGCATGTATGTTTGCTGTCTCCATGCGTTGTTGTTGTTGCTGCAGCTGCTGCTTTTGCTGTTGCGGCTGCATTGCAGCAGCTTTATGTCAGATGCCTATCAAACTTTTGAATTCGCCTGGCACCGGTTGTTCAGCTGCAAACAACTGAAAAATCCAGGGCGTTCACCCTTTGCGAGACTGATGCTGTGCTGGGCGAGACATCGATCCATGCAGCGTGGTAAAGGCAAAAATCAGCACGACCCACAGCCGCAATGACTTCAACCGTTTGCTGCTGACTTCAGACTTCAGAGTAATGATTAGTAGAGGCCGCGGATCAAGACGACTACATCTCTGAAGCACAGAATGACTTTTTATACTATTGTTCTGTCACGAAAGCTAGCTCCTTGGAGC